GGATGTAACATCAACAATAACCCTTGGGTAGGAATCAGGTATGCTGTATTTGATGAAATAGTAAATAAGAAACTTCAGTAGTAGTGTTGGCATTGTTGCTGAACAGGATATTGAGGGTAATCAAAACCCAATCCTTATAATCCTTGTTTGTAACCACAAAGAAATCTTCAAATAGTTGATTTATCGCCAGATGATTCATTTAATGATTCTATAAGATTCAATTAGAGATATAGGCCAGCATTTGAGTTTACATATAAGTGACATTGATCTCTAATATCTTTGCATGGGAAAATAGGGCTGGATTAGGAAAGGATTATTATATGCCTGTTAAAGCACTGGATATTTAGCAGGGCATATGCAACCTTATTCTTAGTTCACCTAGGGTAGAATGTAATTTGTTTTGACTGGACACCAAATAAACAGAGCAAGGAAGAATAGTTCTTCCAAATGCTCTAGAAATGTAAATAGTATGGATGGCAAGCTCTGATAGGGAATTTGGGCTGGAATGTAGCCTGACCAGCCACATACCTACTCAGTGGGAAAACTGGAGTTTTAATAGTGTGATCCTCCAGCCCTATGCTCTTGCCATTTGAAACTGCTCTGTATTAAATCACCGTATCGTTTCCTTTAAAATTTTAGGATTTCTTTAGAGATCTCTCATTCCATATGCTGATTTGATCTAATTCTGGTTATGACAAGATATTCTATAGTTATACCCTAAAATGGTTCTAGATAAAAAGGAAAAATTGCCAAGCATTGTGGCTCACACCTACAATTCCAGCATTTATGAGGCTGAGGAAGGAAGATTGCCATGAATTCTGGGCCAGGCTGAGCTACGAAGTTAATTCTAGTTAGTCCTGCCTGGCTACAGAGTAAGACTGTCTCAATAAGGCCCACAAAGACAAAAACTCATTTATAAATACTATATAATTATACAATGTAGTAATCCAATAGCAAGTGAGTTTACTAAGACTGTTTCTAAAGCAAATGTTTAAAAGAATCACTGCTTCCTATTTATTAAATTTTAAAGAAATGTAAATAATAAGAGAAAATCAATTTTTTTGGAAATACCAAGTTTCATTTATCTCACCTTTATGAATTTTGTTAGCTACACTTAAATTAGCAGAAAGAAGACCAAATATCCAACATGCCTAGATAATTGAGTCTATAGTAATAAGAATATTAATTAGAACCATTCAAGATGACTAGTTTTTATATAATCTTTGAGAGTAAAGGTTAGAAGCTGGATTACATCTGTGTATCTAACTCTCATATTTTAAAATGAAGTAACAGCCTGTCCTTCTGAAAGTAGAGCACTTGTCTGACAGCTCCATGACAGAGGAAAAATACAAACACACAATACAGCACTCAAAAGTTTCACCTTTATATGCTTATTGGATCTATAGACTTCAAGTTGCTTTGTTTGGTGTAATCTAATTGTTCTGTGCATGATTTGCATACATTAAAATATTTAAATATATCGATTAATGCAACTATCACTTGATTCATGTGAACTCTCTACATCAAGATATTTACTAGCAATAGAGCAAAGTAGCAAGGACTGCAAAAGGTTAAGTACAAAGGAGGGAGAAATAAAACAGAATGCAAAAGAACACTCCTGCTGAAAATCAAAATTAAACAAGTTGCTTGGTAGGGTTTATTTTATGTTATCATATGTCTGAATTGAACTAATTTGTAAAGTTTTCTTATTCTAACCTATACTTGAGTCAAGAAATAAAATTGATTCCCATTGTTATAGTTAAGAAACCAAAAACAAGCAGGTGACTTGTTTGTAGCCTAAAATATTGCTAAAATGATAACTGATAATAGTAACATTAGGTTTCCTCCACATGTTGACATTGGTTACTTGTAAGCTAGTTACCTAAGTTAACTAGTTATCAAATTGGAGACCAGTATTGTTAGAAATAAGGTACCTGATATTTATACTATTACTATGATTATTTTACCCATTAATCCCTTGTTATTTAATTTTTGTTATCATTGTTTTTATTATACCATTGAATAATTATGAAAACATAATTTATACAGTAAATGCCTTCTTGAAAACTATTTATGGAATACCATGATTGTGTTGGTGTTAAATTAACAATGAGAAAGCTAGGTGTGGAGGATCAGCTGGTCAAAGTAAGCCTTGGCTACACAGCAAATTTAAGGCTGTTCTGTTCTACATGAAAGCCTGTCTCTAAAACACCTAAGCCTCCAAGTCTCCCAAAACTGATGAAAAGTGAGCAGCAGTTCATAAATTATATGATAAATTTATCTTTTACTTTAAGAGGGGGACCAAGAGAGGATAAAGAAATATATGTCATGAAAGAAGATGAAGTATTTGTGGTAAGGAAGAGGACTTAGGAGATCTGGGGTCAAAAAAGAACAGAGTACAAATATAAATATACATAGATATGTACACATATATAATATACCTGCATATTTGCATACATATATGAAAATGTTACAATGCAAACTCAATTTTGTGTGCTAATCAAAAATTATTTTAAAATTTGTATATGTATATGCTGAGGAGTGAACCTACATATGCAAATGCTAACCATCTATTCTACTGCTGAGTTCCACTCTAGCCCAAAATAAGGTTCAAAAGGAAAATAAGAGAATGTGACTCTTTCATGCCTTATATTTTGTGAGAATGTACAGTAACACTGGTAAATACTTAGCAGTTCACATACTTTAGTGTTTTTATGGCTCGCACTATTTTTTAATCCCAAGAAAAAAAAATTAAAAAGTAAAACATTCCTTTTCAAATCATATGTATTCTCAAGGAAGTCTGAAATGACAAGGAAACAAATATGAATTTGTCTACCTTAGTCTCTTCTAGCTCCTTTTTGACATGCGCTGACTAAAATATGATGCAAAATTCTTCAATTTAACTATAATTTATCTGATAGTTTTTTTGCATGTCTCTTAGATACCAAATAGTACTGGAGGCAGCTCTCATTTCAACAGGATACCTGTGATCATGGGATGCTCTTCCCCTCTTCTGTCTAACGTGTTGCTATGGTGCCCTTAAAATGGGGATAGTCTGAGGAACAGAATTTTAAAAATTAACAGTAGCCACATGATATTTTCAAGGCTTGTGTTCTAGGGGGAAGTGAAGAAAGAAGAAATTGGTAAGGTAATTAAAGTCGTTCTAAATGGTGAGGGCATTGAAATGGAAGGCATTAGTAAGCACTGTTCCATAGTGACAAGGAGAACCCTGGGACAAGAAAGGATGGTGAGGACCCTTCAGAATAAGAGTTGTCCTGGAAAAGGCTGTCCTCTGAGATGGTATTTGATCTGAGACTAAACAGTCAGAAGACATCTATGTAGAGAACTGGAAGCACAACCTGGAATCCCAGTATTTAGAAGACTAAAACTTTGGGATCATTAGTTTCAAGGCCAGCCTGGGCTACGTGGCAAAACCTATCTTGATTGACTAATTAAAAATGACTAGGGATATGGCTCAGTGGAGACAGCCTAGCATGTATGCAGCCCTTTGATTTGTGGGGTCAATTGCTAGGAGAATGCTACCTGAAGGATGAAATGTGAGGGAAGTTTAGAAGGATGGAGGGGAAGGGGAGGGAACAAGGGAGGAAGGGACAACTAACAAAAAATGTAGTTGCTGCTTTCATTGCAAAGGAGAGGAGGCTGGGAAGGTTGTGAGGAACCATCAGCAAGTCTGGAGTAAAGGGAGATGAGAAACCACTGAGGCTTTTAAAGCAAAATAATAACAGCATGAAATCAAAATAGTGTGATGCTGTGCCTTTAAAATCCACACTTAAATTCTTTCTGGGAAATAAATTCTAGCAGAGAGAGATGGAAGCAGAATCCTCAAGTGGGGAGCTCTGTCTGCTGTTGTTGGGGAGCTCTGTCTACTGTTGTTGGGGAGCTCTGCTGTTGTTGGGGAGCTCTGTCAGCTGTTGAGGAGCTCTGTCTGCTGGCTGTTGTCTAGGTGAAACTAAAAGAGTTCCCAGTGTATCCCAGAGGTAAAAACCAACAAACTTGGTGAGAGAATTAGAACAATGAAATGGTTAATTTCTGAGTGTCCAGCATCTTGTTGTAAGATTGGATTTCTTAATAGTGTGATCATGTTGACACTTATTTAACTCTAATAACTGTTGCCTGTTGTTTTCCATGTAAACATACCACTTTCATAGATTTGTTTGATTTGTTAATGTTTGATAATTTAGAAAAATGCACCAACAAAAACCTATAAATGCTTGGTTTAAAAGAACACTTTATTTTGCCATATACTCCAAATAAGATTTATCATTCTAGAGTTCTGAACTGACTATGTGATGTCTGCTTTCTGATAAATTATTCCTAGCTCTCTCCTTAGGTGCAGTATGTATGGTTTATTGCATAGATTAAAACTGAGCAGAATTCCAGTACACATGTTCATAAGGAGCCGTACACATGGCTAGTCAATGTATACATGGAGTTTTGTGCCCCAGTCCCTAATGTCTTGGCATTGCTTTTATTATGTCTGGATGAAAGGCCACAATGCATTCTTTTACTATTGTAGCTTCAACCAGTTTTTCTTTTTTTAAAGAGCTTGCAATTACCATCATAAAGACTCCTTTCTGGAGAGCTTTCCATAGTGCATTATCATTCCACAAGTCTAATAATAGTGGAATATAAAGATTTTTAAAAGAAATTACTACAATATCTAAAAATGATTTTGAGAACTATAGCTAACTCTATAATGAGAAACACTAAAAGTCTGGATGAAGAGAAACAAAGAAAAACTGCCAAAGTCAGGGCTTTTAGAACTGGTACACGTTGGAGACTATAAATCTGGCCAACAAAAGATACTTTGCAAATCATGTGCACCTTTACATTGTCTAAACATAGCTGAAAACCTGTTCTCTGCTTTTGAGAATGCTAATGCTTAGAACTGGTCATTACCTGGCTTTTATGATGGTTTATGGACTTCTGTCTTATATCTGCCTAAAAGCTAATTCTGTGTTTTCTGTGCCATCTTACAGTGGTGTTATCAAGGAGATTGTGTTCCTTTTGGCACTTGGCCCCAGAGCATAGATGGGGGCTGGGGCTCCTGGTCACTATGGGGAGGATGCAGCAGGACTTGCGGGGGAGGCGTCTCTTCTTCCCTAAGACACTGTGACAGTCCAGCGTAAGTAGCTAAAGTAAGCCGGAGCCAACAAAAAGACACAGTTGGAAATGATTCAAAGCTGTGGTTTCACATGTTATCTGTAAAAATGTTTCTCTAGCAAGCCAAGTGCTTGTCTTCAGAAGAAGCAAGAGGTCCAGGAAAGTGGAGGAGCTTTGTTAGACAGACTTTCTTTTTCTTCATTTCCCCTTATTGTGTAAGTAAAAATTTAAAAAAAGAAAATGAAAGAGAAAAATCTCAAGCCTTTAAAATAGAAAAGTGCTGTCTGTCTAGATAAGCTAGTAATAATTAGATTTCCTCCTCTAAGACTGCTGAATTATGGATGAATCCAGGCATGGTTTTTGCTACATTACCATTATTCCCTGAAAAAGAAGGGCTTTTCACATGTCGCGGAAAATGATTACTGCCACACTACTATTAAAAGGACCGATGAGAGCGCTTCGGGTTGAAATGCCTCAGTTTGCATCACAAATCACAAAGAAGACAGTGCTGCTATGTGTTAAAGTGGTTTCCATTCACATGCTCCTGTCATCTCCCAGGACTGTTGATGCAGGCCAGCCCACTCCTCTCCTACCACTCTCCAGCCAGAGTCCCTACAGAGCAAGGCCAGCCAAGTCTCTTTCCTCTCCATCCTACAAATGTACAGGTGGACTGTTGTTCTAGTTTACTTTTTGGCCTAAGATCCACCTGCTTCTTGGCTGCTGCCTGCTTCCTACCCATTATGTCTAGACCCGAGGTTGAGGACCCTTTTTTTGCTGACTAGTCTTTGGCGAAGAACGATGTTTATGATATCTCTAATCACCCCACCTCCCCCAATCTGGATAAAGGATGGTCTAGTGTAGTTTGTTATTTGTTCTCATTTTAACCCAGGACTCTTAGCTTTCTTCAAATGCCTCATTTCTATTTCTTTTATCTAAAAATATTTTCTTCATAATAGTCCTGAATTCATCTTCCCACTTTGCCCTCCCACCAAACAGAGATTCCTGTTATAATTCATTAACTAGTTATGACTGCCACCATCCCCACAACCTTGTTTTGGTTTCACAAACCTTTTCTCCCAAGATGGTTAAAGCTGATCAATCTGCTGGTCTTCAAAAACATATTCCAAATTTACTGATATTAGTGGACCTGATTCCTTTTTAAGCAAGTGCATGAATAATTATGCTAAATTTAATATAGGCTGCTATAAACTAGTATCCCAAAATATGAAGCCTTATGATCAATTAACAGACTCAGATATGTAAGGGAATGACCTTGGACATCTTCTAAGAGGAAGATGTTTTTCACTCAATAATAGTATGTCTGAATGATGGCATATGTTTTTTCCTTAATTCTAAATACTTTAAAGATTAATTTATGAGAGCAAATGCTTGACATTGTACTTTCATTAATTTGGAAATAACAATGCAAAGCCATCTCTTTTACCATCTTCCTTTTTAATTTCATGTTTTTAACTTTGTGTTGAAATGAAAATGCATTTTGTGTATTTACGCTGAATTGGATCCATTCCCAGGAAGTCATTGTTATCTCTTTGGTTCCCACCTGGAAGAAAAGATTATAGTTTGTGTTGAATATAATTTAAATGGCTTTTTATTATAGATATGGTTTTTTAAATTATTTATTGAATGTAGTTCTATGCTATGATAATTAAAAATACTAATTTATTTATATTTTCCTGAGACTAGTCTTATAAATTATTTATATGCTGCCATTTTATGTTGAATAACCATACTCATTATTAATTATCATTATTTTAATAATTGATAAAATGCCACAATTAATTTCTTTTTAAAGCAATTTTTGATGTTTTTGTCAAGAAACATATGTAGTCTTAGTGTGATAGATACATTCTAATCACATGTTAAACAAATGTTGTTTCCCAGACCGTCAGGTGGTGGAAAATATTGCCTTGGAGAAAGGAAACGATATCGCTCTTGCAACACAGATGTAAGTAAACCCAAAGTTTGCTATGAATAATTAGCTTACTCGTGTCCTAGGCAGGGAAAGCTTTGAACTTTATGCCCTTTAATCAGAAATCCATGTGTTTAAGGGTCACATGAATTCCCTATAAAGCTAGTCTTAGCACTGTCGTCAATCCCATCAGTAGGCCACGAAGGAAGCTGCAGAAGGGGACAGGTGTCTTCTCCCCAGTGGGAACACCCACACATGCCCTGAATAACCTGGCCTCAACTCCATTCTCTCTGTCACTATGTGTCTTGAGTCCACAAGGCTCAGTCTTACTATGCCCTTCATCATGTTTTCTGTTCCTCACAGTGAGAAGCCTCAGACTCATACATCATCCCTCATCCCTTGGCATCCAGTCCCTCAAGACTCAGCATTATAGTCCTGAATCATGTCCCTGCCACTGGCAACTATGAAAATATTTCTGTGCCCTCAGGAATTCATGATCCATTATCAGCAGAATTTCACTGTTTGACTTCTCTGAATTTCCCTTGTTTTTACTGTGTTAGTTGCATCTCTGTTGCTGTGATGGAACACTCAGAAAAATGATCCTAGGGGGAAAAGTTTTAGTTTACAGCTCCAGAACTGGGACAGCCTGTCTTGGAGAGGAAAACATGGTAGCAGAGCATGAGGCCTGTTCCTTGTGTTTGTACTGGCAAGGTAGAGGCAGAAAGAGAACTGGGTGTTGGGCCGTGTTACAAACCTTCAAAGCCCGCCCCAAGGAAATACTAGTCCTGAAGCAACACTCCACCTCTTACAGGTTCCGTAATCTTCCCTAATAGTACCTCCAGCTAGAGACCAAGTGTCCAAACACAATCCTCTGGGAGACATTCCATTTAAAAACAACACTTCCCTTCTTGGTTTAATGGGAAACCATCCCTCCTTCAAATCCACTCTTTCCTCTGTAGTTCTCAAACTGAGAGCGTCTTGCTTTTCCCCTTGGTCATTGTGGTCATTGTGGACTGGCTCTGGTATTAGATTGACTCTCCTTCTTTGGTTATTTTGTCAGAATCACTCTCTCCCTCCTGTGTAAAACACAGTATTTTATTTTGTAACACTGGAATATTAACAAACTAGCTTCATTCATGTCTTCCAGTCTACTCCTGCCTTAATTCCTTATCAATTCATAAGTGTGTAGATGATTGTCCCTACGTGTCCTCTTCTGGATTTTTCCGTAAGCATACATAACCTCTTTCTGTCTAAAAACAAACAAAAAGCCCTTGCCAGATATTTCAGCCACTTCTTTGCTGCCCTTGGAAAGAAATTCCCCCAAAGGCTTATCTATGTGCACTGAGCTGAGTTCAGAGCTTCATTTTTCCCCCCTGAACTTGCTCTTATGTTTTACTTCCACAGTAACATTGACATGCTCTGACCCAGTCACAGATCCTCCAGCATTTGCTAAACCCAGTGGTTGGTTGTAGTCTTCATCTTCCCACCCAATCACAATATTTGTCTATTCTATTTTATTAGCATTTCTCCTTGTCCTCCTTTGATGGTTCCTGCTCTTTTCTTTGATTTCCTAATGTTAAATTACCCAAGTCTTTGCCCTTGATTCTTTTTCTGTTCTACCAATCCTCATTTTATTTCTGATCTCATCCACTTTCAGTGATTTTGATACTATTATATATAGTTCAGATTCCAAATTTATATGTTTTAGCACAGTTGCTATCTAGTATTTAGTGTATATTAATGCTCTCTGTCAGTCAGTGGGTTTTTTTTTTTTAACCTCAGATGCCAGTGCTATTGATGAAGTCAAAATTCTAGAGTGTTTGTTTGTCCCCAGCTTTTTCTGTCTCACTGTCTGTACACATCTCATCCCTCAAGAAATTCTGTTGTAATTTGCCTTATAAATACCTCTGGACCAGGCTGGACAGTGGTGGTGCATGGATTTAATTCCAGCACTCAGGAGGCAGAGGCTGGCGGATCTCTGTGAGTTCTAGTCCAGCCTGGTTTACAGAGCAAGTTCCAGGACAGACTCCAAAGCTACAGAAAAACCCTGTCTCCAAAAACCAAAAACCAACCAACCAAACAAGCAAACCCCCTCAGATTTGACACCTTTCACTACTTCTGCCACCCCCTGCTCCGGCCTGAGTCCCTGCTGTCTACAGCGGTCAACTGAATAGACTTTGACTTTTATTTTTTGAGGTGCTTGTTACTGAGCCCAGGGCCTTGCACACACTCTACCACTGAGCGTCACCATCCACTCTTTGGTAGCCTCATGTGTTACTTTGCCACCACCAAACACACTCTTCAGTTCCCAGTGTAGGGGGCAGAGTAAGTCGGATTAGTTTTACTCTTTATCACCTTACACCCATTTTTCCTAAGTATGAAATTATTACAAAAGCTAGCAAGAGCTCTACATTGTGACTTCAGTTGCTTCTTTGAACTGATCTTTAGCGGCTTTTTCACCCTTTGCTCCGACTCTGTGGGTCTCCTTACTTAAGCATGCCACTAATGTTCTCTCCTTAGGACCTCTGTTTTGACAGCTCCCTTTGCCTTGTGCGCTTATAGCTCTCCTTCATCTTCACTCAACTGTTTCCTTCTCAATTATGCCTATCCTGAATACTGTACTTAAAATTGTAAGCATCGCTGCTCCTCTATTTTTCTCTCCTTTTAATACACCCACTTATCATATTTTATTCTGCTAAACAGATCTCAGAGTAATTACATGTATCTTCATTATAAGACTGTAGTGCAAACCCAGGGACAGATATTGGGGTTCAAGTTGAAGATCAGAAAAGCAGAGCAGCCAAGTCACTATGGAGTTCTTACCTCTACCAAGGCTCAGACCAAAGGGGTGGGGTGGGGGGGCCCTGTCCTCAGAGTGACTGCGGACTGCAATGTTCTTCACCAAACCTCAGACTGCCCTATGTTCCTCTCTAGTGCTGGGATTAAAGGCATGTACCACCACCGCCCAGCTTCTATGGCTAATTAGTGTGGCTGCTGGGATTTAAAGTGTATGCTACCACTTCCTGGCCTCTATGGCTGACTAGTGTGGCTAGCTTTGCATTCTGATCTTCAGGAAAGCTTTATTTGTTAGATCATAAACAAAATATCACAGCATAAGACGTTTCATGTTACTAGCACTATTTAGTCCCTTAAATTGACTGCCTGATATATATGTTCAAAAAAATGCTTAAATGCAAGAGGTCACAACAGAGAATAATAACAATACACTGACAAAAGTCATATGTTATAAAAGTATGTGGAATTGGCACATAGCTCATTAGGAATTTAAGGTTTCGTCTCCACAGAGAGACCTGAAAGGCAAAGACAGTTGGCCAGAGAATAACTAGTCGTGATAAAAGCATTCTCGGTAAAAGCAGGATGAAGTGCAAGGTCAGTTTGTATTTAGTTACTATTTAGAAGCCACTGAAAGAGGTATAGAGTTTGGTTTCGGATATGAGCAGGTTGGAGAAAGACAAGGGTAAATCATAGCTCAAGGAATTTAATGACTAAAGTGCTGAGACAGAGGCTCTCTACAAGGACTGAAAGCCTAATCTAAAGAGGGCTATTGGGGAGAAAATTGGAAACTGACTTTTAAAAAGCCATAAAAGTAAAAACCAAAACCCAAATCAAAACAAAATAAGATGAGTATAATAGGAAAAGTAGAGTGAGTTGGGTAGAAGTTGAGATCAGAAAGAAATGTATTTGAATTGATGACGTAACAAAGTGAGCACATTCTCAGTGATGACAAGTTTAGAGGTGGTGAGAAGAGGGCATTCCCAAACGAGTGGAGACAGAGCAGTGGGAAGAACTTCACAGCTATTAAGACTGATGTGAATGTCGAAGACACTCGGGATGACACCAGAACCTGGTGTATAGGGTGAGACTCTCTCAATTCTCATATGCCTCAATCTCTCATTTGTTAACTGATTTAGATTAATGACACCAACATCAGTAGAATAGAGATTTTATACAAGGATAGACGTGAAGACCTGCCATTGTGTCAGACAACAGGCAGGAGTATAAAACTCAAACCCATTTCCCAGTTCACTACTGCTTCTAATATCATATAATTGAAGGAGTGAATATACAATAGTATAGGCATTGTTCAGTATGAGTACTGTATGTTAGGAAACAGAACATGAAAAAAATGACAGACATCATTGTCTGTACTCATGACTGATTTAGAAGCTCAAATTATAGAATGTAGTATTGGTATGCTGGCATTTCTATTACTGTTTTTTCCTTTTATTTTGACTTTTATTGAATCATGGTGCATACATAATTAATCATGTTTCTTTATTAGTACTGGCCCTACCAATTCAGAACTTGAAGTAATCGAGTTACCATACTAAACTTTTTTTTCTATTTATTAAAATGAATAGACTTGTCTGGAAATAACTTGTGGCAGGGACTAACTTTAAGCTCACGGACCCTAGTCTGACAGCTGGGGAACCAGCATAGGACTAAACCAGCCCCCTGAATGTGGGTGTCAGTTAGGAGGACTAGGCAGTCTATAGGGCCTTTGACGGTGGAGTATTTATCCTAGTGCATGAATGGACTTTGGGGGCCCATTCCCTATGGAGGGATATTTTTTCAGCCTAGATACACTGGGGAGTGCCTAGGCCCTGCTCCAAAAGATGTTACAGACTTTGATGATCCCTCCTGGAAGGCCTCACCCTCCCTAGGGAGTGGATGGGGGAGTGGAATGGAGGGGGTCAGTGGGCAGCATGGGAGGGAGAGGGAACTGGGATTGATATGTAAAATAAGATTGTTTCTAATTTAAATAAAATGTATAAAAATATTTAAAGTTTCTAGAATATATAATATTGACCAGAAGTTTCTAAAAGAACTTGATTCAAGTTCTGAAAATGCCTCATATATCTACTGTCAAGCATGGGAGCCACTGACACTAACCCAGTTAACTAATGAGATTTGATGTGCAATGCGGCAGGGTAACAGAAGAACAGAAACTTCTGCTTAAATTTGAACAGTCATATATGACTAGTGACAGCCATGTTGGTCCATACAGAGCTGGC